TTATATTAAGAATGCTTGCAAGCGAGTATATAATATCACGTATTTGTTTTAATATCACGCGCGTGCTTTCTCTAACTTATACAGACGTTTTGACCACAACGCTGATTTTTATTCTCGATTCACAGGAAATATTCTCATAAATTAATAAACATTCATCTTGAAATTATTTGTAAGAGATTCATCAATTAATATAAAAAAATTGCAAATGACATTTATGTAATTATTTCTAATATACGGGAACAAATGCAAAAAAATCTCTTCTGAAATTTCTATACTTATTTAAGTTATATTACTGAATCTTTAATTACGTTGACAACTGACTTGATTCTGAGAAATTATAATTAGGTACACGTAAATACATAATAAAGTTAATATTGCGTTAAAAATAGTTTAAGAAAAAAAACAGGATTTTTTTAAAATTTACAGTCGCTGACACTTAATTCTGCGCTGTTGCATTCATTTTACAATATCCACTACGAAGAACGCGCCGTGTTCTACAATCAAATCCAATGGAATAATTTCTGGAATTGTTCCTCCGAGAGACCACGATGCGATAGCACATTAGGAACATTTAGTGCATTAGGAAAAAAGAGATTCTAATTGCCGCGCGGATAATGCCGCGTTATTTTTCTGGCTGGAATACAAAAACGGTTACTGCCGCGATATTCAATCCGCCATTCAGCAGACGTAATCTTGTCAAACATTGATACAACCGTGCGCGGGCGCGCGCGCACGCGACGTGTCTTATAGAGCTAGACCAGACAATTTAACGAGACTTTCAGGCAAAAAGCTCGCTCGTTGAATCATAATGTCGGATAATGTGGCGAGAGAGTGAATCACCGACCCGACGAGCGCGAAGGAAATATTTACTTCCGCGCGAGAGACGCGCGCGCTTCAAACTTTTTGACCGGGGCCAAAACTACCGTGCGAAAAAACGTTCGCGACGAGCCAAAATTTTATTTGATCATACCTGATATCATCGACGATAACGGCAATATCCATCGACGTTTAAAACCTCTCGCCGGCTAACTGGACGAAGATGAGTCAATCTAAAAAATTTAAGGGGATGAGTTATTACATACGCGACTGCAGAGAGTTCGACGAACACGAGACTCCGTGGAGATTCCATTTCAGAGACTCCATTTACGCAATTCAAATTCCACTCGGTGGGTTAGCTCGATTTTGCATAATAACGCTGTGACGCTTTTCAATCTTGGAACGATAGCGCTTAATACATTATATTTTATAACAATACAAACATCGCTGCAGTGCGTTTTCTGTGAAACCGGGGAGTTTTCCAGGAAGCAAAGCTATTGTGAAAAAATTATTATTATACAGACAAGACATACCGGGGACTAATTCTAAAATCGCAATGCAAACAAACGTTTCGACTTACGTAATGTCTCTCTCTCTCTCTCTCTCTCTTTCTCTCTCTCTCTCTCTCTCTCTCGAGTTATTAATGTGCGAATTTAATTAAAAATTATTACGCGAAAAGTATTAAGACATGATATTTTATTTCGCAAGTACTTCGTCATAAACGAATATTACCTTCAACTGTGTTATTATTGAGAGAGAGAGAGAGAGAGAGAGAGAGAGAGAGAGAGAGAGAGAGAGAGAGAGAGCTTTTTAATAATATAGCAACCATTGTGATTCTGGTTTGAAATAAAGCGCATTGTGATTCTAGGATTAAAATAACAAATAACAAATATTTGTATTCTTTATTCGAGAATAATTGTAAAATATTCTCGTCACTGTCCGCATGCATTCGTCAGCGTTGCCTTGTTTATTTTCCTTTTTTTTCTTATTTTCTTAATTTCTTAATTGCCCTATCCCTTTTTATCAAAATCGAAAGACTTCCGTGGTCTGAAAATTAGCGGACGAAATTCAGCCTGGATCCCAGCTGTGCCGTTCGCGCACGTTGAACCTGTCCGATTTCGGTGTACCTTCAAAGCTATCGGGGCTAAGTATACTTAAATTAAAAGGCTACAAGTACACCCCTCCCGCCCTTCTCATCCGACGGAATCCGAGCCGAACTTTTCGCTGCGCGATGTTTCTAGCCTCCTGTCGGACATTGCGCAGAAATCGACCTAATCGATACCTCGTGCGGCGGTAGGAAGAGTCCCGCCGTTCTCTCTCCGCCGGAGACACGGTTCGAAGTGTCCTCGAATATTCCTTTAAAGCGACGGTTTACTCAGAAAAGGAGGACGATGAGACGTAAGGAAACAGCCTTCGAGAGCCGGAACGTTTTCGAGATTTAACGCGAAATAGAGGGAAACGAGGGGCGTCGGGATGACATCTGTCAATTTTGAAAAATTGCGCGTCGCGGTATACATATAAGTGGCCTCCATTATAGAGATAGCTCTATCCGTGACTGACGACGACGAGCGTATATGTATATCTCTCCGGCCGAATACGAGGCGACGCTGAGCATTCGCGGGCGACTAAGTACTTGGTCCAGTTATAAATTTGTGCAAAATGCCCAGAAAACGTTTCATTATTAATAACTCCAGTCATGCACCTCGCACGTTCTATCACGAAATTATTTTGGCTCGATCGACTCTATCAGAACAGAGTAAAGTATAATAAGCGTGACTGATCTGGTCGCGAGTCACGTGAGACAGATGGACCGTGGATGCGGGGTATATCGGCACAACGGAATCGTAAGATAGTCGAGAGACAAACGAGAAGAAGAAGAGGAGAGACCGCGAAGAGAGGATATCGTGCGAGCTAGGCAGTCGAGCGGACACGGGCGTAGCGTGCCACGGACACGACATAGATACCGGGGGCCTTGGTTACCGCTCATCGGGTAGCATCACGGCAGCGAGCAGATTAAGCGGAGAGAAAAAGCTGAAGCTGAGAGAGAGAGAGAGAGGGAGCAAGTGAAGAAGAGAGGCCAGGGGAGGAGGAGAGAAACGATGGAAAATATGTCGGCGAAGACGAGCAGGCGAATACGGCGATATATCGGCGGCGATGGAGGGAGACAAAGAGAGGAGAGGCAAGACAAAGGAACAACGAAGGGCAACCGGAGGCGTACAAAGGAGGGTAGCAGGAAGAAGGAAGGCGCAGGAGCGACGGCGGAGAGTGGCGGAGAGGAGGAGAAAGAAAAAGGGAGAGAAAGAGAGAGAGACAGAGCGCGCGAGAGATAACGTGCGGCATCGGTAGGAGGAGAGCGACCGCGATGGAGGTGGACGCGGGCTACGTCGGAGGAGAAGGATGCGTGGAGTCGCGCGGAGGATAGGCACACGCGCGAATCGATTAGGTTGCGCGTCGGCCATTTTGTTGCCGGTTCACCGGGAGGCCGCGGAGGCGTGGATCCCGGACGGCGTCGACTCCGCCGCGAGGACGAATCGTTCGTTGTCGCGCGCCGCTCTCTCGCGTTCGATAGGAACGCCCGAAGGTGGTAGGGAAAGTTATAGAGATCCGCCACGGGGCTCTAGCGGCGGTGGGGAAGGAAGAGAGGGGGAGGGATGCCGCTGGTCCGCGGTGGGAGCGAGCGAGAGAGGGTGGTGGAGCGAGAGAGCGATAGAGCGGGAATAGTGGGGAATCCCGGCGGCAGTTGGGGGTTCCGGTTAGGTTGGGTTGGATTCTCGAGCAGACTATAGCGAGACGTCTAACTGGCAGTCAGTGGCTCCCGGGGCCCCGCGTCGTCAGTCTCGTCGGGGTAGTTTCGTGTAACCGTGTCGTCTCTCTCTCTCTCTTCTCCTTTCTCTCTCTTTCTCTCCCTGTCTATCTCCCTCTCTCTCTCTCTCACTCTCTCTCTCTCTCTCCCTTTCCGTCTGTCTTTCTCTCGATGCCTGCCCTTTCTTTCTCTCTTTTCACCTGCTCCCCTCTCGTCCCTCCGTCCTGCCGACCCCTTCCTTCCTCTTCCGTGGTCTCTACCTTTCTCCGGACGTCTCGTCCAGCTTCTGCCACAATGATAGTTTCTTTCGCTTGCCTTTACCGCTGTCTGTTATCGTTCGACTCGTCTCCTTGAAGGCCTACAATAGCGAAAATATTCGCCGCTACGTCGCGCCCGCTGCTCGCCCCGCGCTGCTCGACGAGTGACGAGAACATGATCGCGTCGTGATTCCGGTGAGGGACCGCAAGTTGCCGACTTCGGAGCCACTTGTTCCGGCGAGAGACCGACCGCGAAGATCAGGAAATGTTCTTCAAGTTCTACGTCGCCGTCGATCGTGTCTACGATCGTATTCGCGTCTGACAACCACGAGAAACCTCTCGCCGTACTCGCGAGACAAGTTTCGCGCGAGATATTCACAGCGAGTGCGTGTCGAAGTAGTGCGGTGATTCGACGGGGATCCCGAGGAGAAATCGGAGCGGAAGGATCGAGCGAAGAGCCGCTAACTTGGCGAGGAAGACGAGAAGAGAAGTCAGTCGGAAGTGCCGGGTGAACTGAGAGAATTCTCGAGAAAGCGAAAAGTTGTGGAAATATCAAAAAGAGAAAAGAAAAAAGCGGGCTGCGAGTGAAGTTCGAAACGAGAGATCGTGAAGGCGTTGGTTGAACTGGACTGGCTATAGCGACAATCCGTATCGGAGCCAATCACACTTGCTCGAGATTGATTTCGAAATTCGTCAAGGCTTGCCAACGTTTTGGGTTCTCGCCATTTCGATGAAACGATAATGTAGGCCGCCGGTACATTACACACATCGATATCGTGCGGTTGATTTAAATAACTCTCCAAGAAGCGCGATTCTCCGCTTCTCAATCGCGTGAGCAATTGAGTTTTAATTATTCGAGATACACGGGAGAAAGCAGAAGGAAAAACCCAAAGCAGCCCTAACTTACGTCTTGTACGTAAGTCCGGGGGCGATTCGACCCCCGCCCCCTCCCCGGGGGGTAGCCACGAAAGCGTCTCGAGGGTAGCAGACACGCCGGGCCGGAGTTTCGCGAGTTTAAAGGGTACGGCCGGTGGTCGGCGTACGAAGGCTTCAAGATTGCTCGAAAACCGTCGCGCGAGGTGCGCAGGAGTGGCAGAGCTGCGGAAATAGGGGCTGCCGGTGTGATGCAGCGGGTGGGCGCAGCCGGGGGGCCCGGGCCCATCGGCTTTCAGGGCCCTCCGAGATCGCTGAAAATTTCACCGGTCAACATACAGGACGAGCCTGCCGATCCCATGCAGAGTGAGTAATACACGAGCCTTTTTTCCTCCTCTCTCTCTCTCTCTCTCTCGTTGTCACACGGAGATCTTCGGTAGCCAAACTCCACTTATACTGTCGTAAATTTCTTACTCTTAACACCGGAGCACGCGATCGAGTTACAACCTCATCGATTTCCTATTTCATAGAGTTGATCAAACTTTCGAGTTTCACTTCCGAAAGGCTCGTATGACGCGGAAATATATGAAGGAGAAGCATCGCCTATAGAAACCAGTTGCCACCTCAAGTCGTTTATAAGCTTGATAAAGGCATAAAATCTGTGCGAAATAAGACGTCGCTAGATGGTGTTGCTATAATAATATACGTTATTTCACGCTCGAAATATAAAAGTAAAGAAAAATACGCTGTTGCTATAGATTCCGTATCTCTTAACGACGGTGTCGTTAAGATCATTACATTATCATTAGTATTACTACACTAGCTGTCGTTGGGCAAGTGATAATATGTATAGTAAAAAAAGTTGCGCAATAACAATATAACGATAACGAACTGTCCTTAAGAGTCACACTCGCGAAGTTACAGAATCCAGCTTCTGGTCACAAAATATATTTTCCGTTAACCGAAAATTCGATCTTCATTCGCGAAACTCGCGTGCATGTGCAACGAATCGTTTTAATTTTTGCTCAGAAAATGAATAAATTCTATCGTAATTGATTCGATTGATTCCTACAAATCGATTACAAATAATCTTGTTTGATTAAAAGCGATTTTTTTTAAACGATAATGGCAATTTTTTTCCATCAATTAACGACGATTTGCATGGTTTGCTACATCGTCGCTGGTTGAACGTTAAAAAAAAACCCGATCGCTCGACAATTAGCTTAACGTGCGCCACTTCGTTCCGCGCACGTCGCGTAATTAGATGGCCAAATAATCATCCCTCTCGTATTCATTATTTTACCGCGTCCACGCTGGATCAGCGTAAATCAGTGGACATAATACATTAAATATGGGTAATATGATGCGTCCATCGATACACATTTACGTATTGTGTGTTTTATATGTGTACGTATACATAATAATTATTATAATTATTTATAAATAGAAATCGCATTTCTTTAAATATTTTTAAACTTTGATTTATAATCATGAAATCGAAGTCAGTAATGGAACGAATCGAGATCAATCGAGTTTCGCTTGGAATAAACCTTCGATTCGAAATCAACAATGTAGCTACAGCTTTCACAGGTTAAACTTATCCGAGCGCCATACAACGAAGGCAGAATATAAAGCGTCGCTTTATATTCTGCCTTCAAATCATTTTCTTAACACTCGTGCAGCTATAATCGTCATATCCGAGATATCCGAGTGATGTAGCCTTATAATAAACAACGCACACAAATTTTACGATTATCTTTTGCTAAACGATAATAGATACCTCTCAGATTTGAAATCGTGGAGAGCGGAAAGAAGGTCCAATCCAACCGCAACGACAAGCATGCGATCGCGAATGATCAGATCGAGCGTCAGTCGCGTTTCACACAAGCTGCACAAGCGATGCTAAATTATTACACCGTACAGCCGGTACAGCGACGCGCAGCATCGCGCGAATATCTTCGGTACGAGGCGCGTAAGAATGCGAAACGTCCTCGTTTCGCGTCGCGACGTCATTACAATTCCGTCGGCATTGAAATTACCGAGAAGTCGTCGTACGCGTGGTCTAGTCGTCGCAGGTGAATAAAATCTTTTTGTCGCGTGATAAGACGGCAGTTAAAGCCCGCGATGATTTATGGACGACGACACGCGTTACGGCGCGAATCATAAAAAGATTCGCGCTCGCGCACGGCGCGGCGGATCCGCGAGAAAGAGAAAAAAAGAAGTGAGGAAGGAAAAAGGAAAAAATCGCGCGAGGATCCCGCGCGGATGCCTCTCGAACAATTTACAGTTAATGAAGTGCACTTGTGGTAAATAAACCTTGGAACATCGTCCATTACCGAAGACGCGCGTATCTCGCCTACGTATTTTCCGACGTAATATTGACCGTAAATCAAGGATAGATAGCCGCATGCGGGGACAGGCAAGGGGGTGTGAAGCGGAACGGACATGAAACCTGTTAATGTGCTTGTAGAAATCGCGCGATCGACGAGATCAATCGTTAATTATCTCGCCGCTTAAGGACGATCATAGAAATGTCAAAACATATAGAAGTGTCTAAAGGAACTTTGATAATTTCCACAGGATACATTATCAACGCTGTTCATCTCGTTAAAATGCTCTTCGTTAATTTGGCTAAAATCCTTCGTCTTACATGCGTCTGTATGCTAATGTCGCGTCAAGTCGCGTGCATAACGAACGATAATGTTAATCCAAGATGCAAATTACCGCGGCAAGTCGCGACACTCGTTTAGCAGTGAACGTGAGACTTTATCGTTTAACATATTTCTCTGATACAGTATCGGAAAAGCCTTCTTCCAAATATCTTTAGCTGATCCGACGACAAACATCGTAATTCCGAACTTCAGAATAATAGAATTAAAAAATCGCGATTCGCGATTATCGTCTACCAAATTCTGACATTCGAAAAAAATACCGTCATATTACGACTATTATATGCAAATAACATTTTTTGTAAACTTTATTATTGTATTATTTATCTTGAATGCTCTAAGCGTTTCTCGCAACCGCGGAATCACTATATATTTATTTTCAGCATCTTATTGTGCTACATTTAGAAACCAAACTAACAAAAAGATTTAAAATAAAATTTAGTAGATATATGTAGAATATAATAAATGTGTGAGAGACAGAGAGAAAGAGAAAGAGGGGGAGAAGGGAAAAAGAGAGATTATAATTAATTTTTCCTATAATTTTAACTTATCCGATCGATGATTCGCGATCTAGGGATGTAAAATTAGTGTTTACCACTAGATTCAAAATGGGAATACGCCTGATAGTACGCGAGTAACTTATCGTTGCAGAGTCAATGATGCCGCTCACGCCAGGAGTCGGCGGTGAGCCTTTTCCACGTGCAACCGGCGCTCGTGTGCTCATTTATTATTAACGCGAGTTATCGCATTTTCATAATCGGATACATGGAATATTCAACGGCGCGAAACGATTCGCCGATGATTTTCTGTAATTAAATGTTACAGTGTTGCATTTAACACGTGTTTTTCGCGCGCGCGCGCGCGCGCGCGCGTGCGGGCGCGGGGCGCGCTCACGGGCGCGCGATCGCGAGCGTGCGATCCGACAAAGTCGCAATTATCGCGGGGGCAACATTAATATCAGCCGTATTTATCGCTTATAATTATTGCGGCGCTATATTATTCGCGCGGAGTAAGAATGGCGAGTGTGCAGCATACACGCGCGTTCGCACACGAGCGTGTCAACGATAGGATCGCGGGCCTTTAATTTATGCTCGCGATTAATTCGATAATGCGTTCAATGAGGCGGATGAATAATTAAGTCGATGACCGCGATGTCGGTACTACCGTATGCCGAGAAAGAATAAATAAATTAACATTGCAGGAATTGCGAGATCGTGTGGTAATGCGAGCTCGCGCGATAGAATCTCGATGAGAGTCCAATTTTACAACGCAGCGTAAAGAAGAGTATGTAAAGAGAGATCTGTGTGTGTGTTTCATATCGTACCGATGCCGCTTTCGACGAATTATAGGCATAATAATTCGTTAATTCGAAGCGTTTGATGTCTGAAAAATTTCGACAACAAAAGTCTTTGGCGAAGTTCAATGGACAGCGTTATCCGCTGATTTCAGATATATAATTAGATTTTGATACTGTGCGAAGAATACTCAACTTTACACTCTGGATGTAAGTTTGATCACTAGCTTATAGGCGATTATAGGCGGCTGCATTCGAGATTCCGGTATCTATTCGAAGCACCATGAAAGACGGTCGCTTTAGCCAGTTTAGCCGGGATTCCGCGAATCTGCTCGATTCATTTGTTTCCACCTGACCGCGGAATGCGATTTTCGATTCGAGTCGAAATCGCGCGAGCGAAAATAGACTCGGCCGGTTTTGCCCTCTGCACGCGCACTCTCCGCGTTTTGATAATGACTGCTTTCGGTAATCAAAACACGGGAGAGAATGGTTACGTTAAGGTTTTCTCTGAAGAATAAAAAATATTTTCTGTTACATTCATATAAATAATTTACCGTTGCAATAGTTTATTTTTCTAAACGTAAACGCAACTAACGTTTTTTTTTTGTGTAGACGCCATATCATGTAATAGATATAATAAATAAAGCATGTATGTCGAATAAAATAAAACACATACACGCTCATACAGTATAAAGTAACGCGCAGTGTTGATCGCGTTAATTGCTCTTTCAACTGCCTCTCGCATTTGAAAGCCCTCGAATCGTTAAGAATGGCGTTGAGAATCGCGTTGCACGCAGTGCACGTGCGTTGCATTTAAAGATCGACAGATTTTCGGAGCGAGGGGCGACTTCGCGTTCGAGAATCGAGAAAAATTTCATCCGCGTTACTTGCCACGGCGACAGAGTCGGGGACGCAGAAACCCGTTCATCTTCCACCCCCTCCCCCCCTTTCAAGTGTCAAGTCCCGGCGGCGAGAGAGATACAGTTTACGTCGGTTTTAATTAACGGCTCATACATTTGCATGATTAGGTCCTGAAACGCGGTATCAGTAATTCCGCGCATGGAAAACGACCGCGCGACGTTCAACGCCGGGATTCCTCCTCGCTCTCGCCGACGCACATAAAACAACTCTCTGTCCCGCGACGTTAAACATTTAAATATCCGTCCTGCTATCTTTCTTTTCCTCTCATCCTCGAAAGGCGCGGGCGTGTGCCTACGTCTACGTATCGCCGATTCGTGATATCGTGTAATACATGGTCTACAATGAACAGTAGCACCGTAAAGTTGTAAGCCGTAAGTTGACACACAGTCAATTATTCTTTTCACATTCGACTTCTGTAATTAGTCAATTTCTTATTTATGGTTTACAGCCTACGGATACTCCTATAATTGTAAATCACGTAT